ATTTAAATATAGTTATTAAGCAGGATTATCCCCAGGTAGGTTTTCTTAGCGATAAGTATGAAATAGGCAATATAAATACACACAGAAATCTAAAGAGCAGCGTAACATTTATAAAGAATAATTTGCCTGGTACATTTTGCCTTATTTTTCTGCTTAGAGATTATCCATAAGCAGAGTCTGATTGATTGTGAATAGTTCTTTGCAACAATTCAGTAGCTGTCATTTACTTTGCTAAACACTGGATGGATGCGACTGACGAAGGTTATTGTTTTTCCGTGGCTCTATAAATATACGACTTGTTCTAATGCAAACACCCACATGTGAAATTCTGACATGTAGAGACGCTGGCGCCTGCACAACTTAATTGCAGGAACATTTGTTATTCATCGATTCCAGGGCCAGTGGCATCCTTTGTGATCTGCATAACACGGATCGGCAGATCCTTTTACATTTGTTCCTATGGGCTTTTTTTTCCTTTCTTTTTTCTTTTTGAGAACTATCTGACCTTAATTTAAGAATCATCAATGACGGAAAATTTGCATCAGCCATTGGTTAATAGTTCAAAATCATCCTTACTTTTAAAACTGTCCAGTGCTTTGAAAATTGTACCTCCAAACATTTGGAGGAAAACCCATAGAGGCACATTTGTAACAGAAGGTAACCATCTGAAAGTCAAGATGGGCCAGTTTTGCATAGTAGGGTTTTTTCCAAAATGTTTTCTCTCCTTTAATTATTTACCTCATAAAGAAACCAGCTAGATAGGCTAATTATGCTTTCAAGGCTAGGGCACGCTGTATTTTAAAATGACAAGGGTTTTATGGATTGTTTGACATATTGCTGCTTTTGGCTTCTACCTAACGGCCCCAGCAACCCTTTCCTGAGGGCAATCTCTAACCCTACAGCAACAGAGCGCACCCATGAAAACACAAAATTTAGTAGCTGATACCTAACGAACCGAAGATTTAGCCTTCTGAAACAAGCGCGCAGAGTCTTCTTGCTAATGCCCTAGATTCACGGTGGTCACAGCCTGCTATAGCGTGAATCTGCTGTTGAACAAAACCCCACTGTCTCCATCGAATTAAGCAAAAGGAGGGGCTGAAAACACTGGGGCACTGTGCGTGCGTTACACGCCGGTGCGTGGTTCGGAGGCAATATTACGAACTGTAATAGAAAAAGACTGCTTCCCTCGGCGAGACCAGCAACCTGCCACAAGCCCACCACACCGCAGACGGACCCCCACTCGCATCCGAGATGGATGGGTGCCTACTGAACGCTTCTTAGCCAGAGCAGGAAAACGGTCTTAACCAAAAGCTAGCAAGCTAAGCAGGATCTTTAAGCCAAGCAGATGGAAACGGAAAAATTTGCAGGACACACTAAAAACTGCGCTGCACAACTGCAGATGGCTGTCATGTGGCGCGGCCCATTTCAGTGTGGTCAGCTAATGCAACACACATGCTGGTGAGCGCCCTGGGACCAAAGCAGAAGACTCTCTTTGGAGCAGCCTCTCCTCGCTGTGGTCTGGCAGGCAGTGAATGGCATGATACTTGAAAGGGAAGTCTAAGAAATGAGCACACCATTATGGCATTGCTTTGAGATCCTCCTATCTGGATCAGACAAGGCGGACGCCTGCCCCAGCAGCACCCGTCAGCTGGCTGCATCGGCTGAACGCTTTCTCCAGCATGGCCGACTGGTCTGGTGTGGCCGGCCACCTACACGTCCCCCACCACGGGCACAGTGCTGCCACGGAGCGGGAGCAGCACCAGGAGCCCGTCCCCCAGCGTCTGCCCACGCAGAGACCAGGGGCTGGGAGGGGAGAGGGGCGAAAGGGAGCACCCCCCTTGCTTTCAAAGGTTTGGCATCATGCCCCAGATCATCAGCAACTGAGGGTGCTTTTTGTGGCCCCGCGGCTGCACCGGGGACTGCCGCCACCCTACCGAGGCAGGCTCCGGTGAGGTGGGGAGCATTGAGCTGGAGCGCAGGATGAGAGCTGAGGTCTAACACTGCCTCTGAAGCCAGCCCCTTCCTCAGCTGGTGGTGGAAAACGCGTGATGACCCTTCTTAACTCACACCAGCGTCTCATCATGGAGCCAAAGGGCCCCCACCTCCCCAGGCACCCCTGCTTCCCTCCTATGAAAATCTCTACTTGTGTGAAGAACTCAGGGGAATGAAACCAACGTAAAATTAGACGAAAAGTGGTGAATCACACTCAAAGTATGCAAAACATTTCCAAAGTTATAAATGCTACGTGTTTTCACAAATGAAACAATTATTCATGGCTTTGCTTACTCTTGGGTAACGGTTCTGAGACAATACGTACTCATTGACATGAATAACTATCAAGGATGCTGGAGACTTTTTGCCTGCTTTCAATTCTCTTTTGTCTTACCCAATCACATACCTGTAGGCATTGTAGAGATTCCTCTTTTCGTTCATACTCTGACATCGTCCCTCAACAGAACAGGGCAGGGTGAAGTTCCTGGCAGGGAATTCCATGAAGCAGTCGCTGTTACTGGTGCAAGAGCTCTCCTCGATGCTGGCATCATCCAGATCCGTCACCTTCAGTTCCCCATCCACGATCACAAACTGCCGAGGGCGAAAATCCAGTAACGTCACGGAGCCCAGAGGAGAGTGAGCCAAATAATGCAGAAGTCGAACTAAGCTGAGACATATCTGAAATGCAAAAATGTGGGTACCTCATGTTATTTTCTCAGTGCAAAGTATATAAATGAAACCACTTTAGCTGAAGATATATTCATAAATATATGACTTAATATAAGCATTATAACTTATCTTCAAAACTGAATGTTGCAACTAAGGTATTTTTCATAGGATTAACATAGTTAACTGTAAAACCCTTAGAGACTTGAAACAAAAATAAGCTGCTTTACCAGTGCTTTCCCACACTATTCCTGAAGCAGGGCTCGTTGTTTCTATTCTTACTTTTAATAGAAATAAAAGCATTAACTTTTAAAAACACATTATGCACAGGCCTTGACCACGCAGTCTGATTCTGCTCTTTTACAAACTCCAGATCTGGGTGTTTTGGCCGGACCGCCCTGCACCGGTGCGTGGAGCTCCAACCGCAGACGGTGTCTGTACTGCCTCCGTACGGACCCCGGCTTTGGACTTGGACTGCTTTTCTATTTTTTTTTCCACTGGTTCCTCTTACGTTTGCCTCTTCCCAGGGGAGAAGGAAGGAAATTCCCAGAAAGAAGAGCTCCACAGCTCCTCCATAACTCTTCAGTGTGCCTCAGGGTGAGCACGTACATCCGTCTGCCTTGGTGGGTCTACCTTGGTGGACCCTCACATGCCACTTTGCGGCTGGGGTGGGAGCTCTGTGCTGATGCTGCGCTTTTCAATCGCAGGTTAGAAACCTGAGTGAGTGTTGCTAGACAGCAAACTCCATGAACGTTGAACTCAGCCCCCTCACCAAAGTACTGTTTCCAATTCAAGCATTCCTTTCGGGTCCACTACGTAACGTATTAATGCAAACGTAGCATTAATATGAATGCAGTTAAATACTGGCATTTTTGTTCTATGCATGAAATTAATAACAGGTCTTATTCAGTCTAGCAAGCTTTTTATTGTTTATATACAATCTTTGTTTTCTGTTAAAATACACTGTTAAGGCCACATGCACTGAAGCAGTCAAATCCAAATTCAATCTCAGGCATAAATGGTATTCTGAGGGGAGCACCTAAATGCATCCTTCATAAGAAAGCTGATTATATCTGAGGTTATCCCTCACAGACCCTTCACCCATGGGACCTTAGGACTATCTCATGCTTCTATAATCACTCTCCTGCTTGACCGGACTAGAACACTATTGTCCTACTTGCAGGATACCACAGTTCGCGTGGAGATGCCTCTAAGTGTGGATGAACACAGGTCTGGTTACGGGACACCAGACCTGACCACCCTTTCCTCCCTTTGGAAGGACACAGGATTCATGTACGCGCCATCCTGCAATACACTGTATATAAAAGGCACATCCAGCCCAAACTAACCTATAGCGCACGCATCTTCAATCACCAGTGAACGCAGAATTTAGCTTGGATAAAAACACAGGTTGTCATCTGGCATTTTTGCCTTTTCTCAAACACCTGCCCCTGCAGTGACAACCTCTGTGACCACCCCTGACGGGCCGCTGCCCTGTGTACCTGCTGCCAGGCTGGGACTGCCAGCGCCCCTGCACGACACGCTTGCAGCACACAGATGGAGGCTTTACGACAAGCTTTGAGCACACAGATGAAGGCTTTGCTCTGAATCACACACCTCTGCTGAGCGCAAAGGTTGGAGCAAGCTCACTGCCGAGTCCTTCAACACAAGGAAATTGTTATTTGTAGGAATAAGGTCAAATATTTACGCAGCCGTTTTCAGGACTGGACCACAAACAAGTCTGACATATCAGGTAGGTATGATTTTATTTCCTCCTCCTCCTCTGTGTTAGATGCATCCTAGACAAACTAATGAGCATGACATTATCTAAGACATCATTACAGCGATCACAGGAATGTTTCATCTGGAATTCCACCTCTGTGAATCAGCTCAGCACCTTCATCCAATTCTCCCTTTGCAATTGCTCGCTCAGAAATATCCATGTTGGAAGGAAACTTCCCTGTTTATTACCCATAATCTAACATATCTCATGGCCATTTACTTCATGCATAGTTGCCGTCAGTCCATTGTTTGCGTTGCCCAGATGAGATGAGCCGCGGACAGGTCCTGTATTTCGGGAGCCGTGACGAACACCTCTACCGCTTATTAAAACCATACTTCTTTCAGGAAAAGGGAGCTGAAGCTTAATGCTGGGAACACACTTGCTCCATCTATATTAGTAAAATAAACTCTGCCAGGCAGGGAACATTCCTGGACACAGGAACTTAATCCCACCCGCACGCTCGCTAGCATGGTCTCCGGCACGGGTCTGACCGGGACCAAGGCTGCTCTCCTGCACAGTCCCCAGGCGCGATCCGGAAGGCAGCACGGCCCAGGGACCGCTTCCGACGGGCATTCTGCTTCTGACGGGCATCCTGCGTGCAGCCACCCGGCCTTCAGAGAGCGCAAAAATTCAATAGTACAGATGCGGGCTGCACCTCCCTGGTTCGTCTCCGAGATCAGTAAGGAGCACTTTTAATTTTCTGGTACAGATGCAGCCATGCGATCCAAAGTGTTTCAGATGAAGACTGCTGCTGCCTTGCAACGTCTTAGGGAGTTAACCTCAGCCGACGACACGTCCCAACATACACTGAGCGAGACAGCGCTGTCCTGATCAAAGCATTGCTGCAGTCTGGCTTCATTCTGGACAAATAAATGCGACCTTTGTGCTCCTGGTAAATTGCCAACATGGTGGACAACCCGGGTTTGAGATTTGTGTACATTTATTTCAGTCTTCCCCCAGTAAAAGACGAACAGAGCAGGAAGCAGTAGAAGACAATTATAAAACCAACCTATGATAAGGATCAGGAGAGAAATCTAACATCCTTCTATTGTTTAAATCCCAGTTGCAGAACACAATGCTCAACGCCAAAAATTCTGGGCCTCGAGCTTTAACAAGTAAGAAATGTTAGAAGATATCACATAAAAAGCATATGACCGGCTACAATTAGATAACATCAACAGACAAAATAGCACATTATCTTAAACGCTGCAGAAAGGGAGTGCTAAATGTTGTTTCTAAACCAAGATGTAATCATAAGCAAAGCAAATGTTTAATAAATATGAATTGCACTGCACAGTACGTAACCCCTGCCTCATGCCTGATGTTATTTTGTATTCACTGCTCTCTTAAAAGGCCTTTTAAAACAGTTGTTACTTACTCGAAATCTGTCTTCCCAGGAAGTCTGTAAAAGCTGAATCATCTCTAAAGGTGAGCCTAGTTCAGTGATGGTCGTCAACGTGTCTGGGATGTCATTGCTGTCTTGGTAACAATAGCCATAGAGCTGAAAAAAATCACAACCAGGCAATATCAGTGTAACACATCTTGGCACGCTTTTACGTTTCTCTGTGGCTGAGGTGCCAAGTGAGCATTTCTTACAAGGCCCTGAGCTCTACATACTGTATTGCCTTGAAGTGCCCCCCAATAGCTTTCATATCCTCTTGTGTGAGTGATGCTCCCTTAAAACTCCCAAGTTAGCTAGCAGAGTCTCTTGTGAGCATCATAGAGCACGAGGCCAGTGAAGTGCTCCTTGCGCATCCCTCTGTACAGGATCCTACACCAATGAATGTTTAAGAGAAGGGGGGGGGGGAAATCAGTTTTCTATTTCCAATTTTCTATTGGAGGAAAAGTTGCCCATGCAATCCTTGCCTTTCTGCTTAAAAGACACCACAAAATAGCTTTTAATGACATTTCCCATAGGACTGCTGTTTGTCATTGAGTGGCAATGTGTATTTCGATGACACAGTAGCTTGAAAAACAATTGAAGTGCCAAAACTTATCTTTTCCCAGCCAGAAACTGTCTCTTGCTATACTTGGACTTTTGTGTGCAGTATCGTTAAAGAAGGGCAAATACTCCAAAATATTATCTGCCAGTAGCTTCGTCAATTTAAAAGCATTTAAATGGCAATTTCGGCTATGCTCCAGCTCCTTCTTGTATTTGCTTTCCAAGGACATTTGAATGATTAATTTTCACTTGCACAAATAATTGCACAAGAAGAATATTTAAAGACTGTGGAGAAGCGATGTCTTGCTTTATATGGAGTGGGACAACGTCTGACAGGGCTGGGGGACAGGCTTTTTACAAACTCCCTGCCAAGCTCTGGCAGCGCGGCGGTTAAATGAGCCTGATAAGGATCTGATTGCAACTTTCCAGCCAGAACAGCATGCACACGAAGTAAAATTAAATGTAATCTCTGCCCCCAGTCAAATAAACCATACAGTAAAAGGGTCTGTGTGAAAATGTAGCCTTCAAAATGCCCCGCTGCTATTTCTCCACTGCCTTGCCCTGAGTAATTTGACTTCTCAAACCTCTTTTAGTTTTTAAAAAGCTCAGGGAAGCTGGCGGGAGTCTCCTCTGAGCCAAGGGGACTCCGATATGGCCCTGCAGAAGCAGCCAGGCTCACGCAGACCAGAACGGGGACCGACCCTAATTCACCAGGACAGCAGAGCGCCAGGCTGGCGAGTGCCACGGCTGGAGGGAGCGCGGTGAGGCTGAACACGGCCGCTCCGCGCAGATTCCAGTATCGAGCACATTCTTACGCCTTGTGACCCTCCCAGACAGAAAAGCCAAGACCGGGCTAAACTCAGCAAATACGGGATTTGTTATGAACC